TTTCAAACCCAGTCAATCTAACGTTTAATCTCTGCATGTTAGTCACACATATTCAATACAGGCTATAGAATGAAGATCTGAGGTTGGGTGGTCATGCTATAGTGGTTGCAATAGAGTTAAATGCAGATGGCATTCAGATGCATAATGTTTGATGCAAGTACTATTCAGAGAGACCTTTAAATCATTAACTGGAAGGAATATTGTGGATGAGAAATGCTTTAATAAAAACATGTCACTTGCAGAGCTTGATATATGTGAAGCACTGATGTTGACTTTGAGTTACACATTAGAGAAAAGAACTTAGGTTGGCAACTGGTTGATATTTAATGTGAAATTATATCAAAATAAAACCAGATAGCTTTCCTCACCATCCAGCACATGAAAGAAATCAATGTCAAAGTTTTGATCAGTGTGTGTTTAGCTACAAATGCTGAAGGAACTAGCTTCAGATCTCCAATTAGGGACCTTTTGTGATCTTGAGCAAGTCATTCCCTTATCTGAGCTCAGCTTTCTCATCTGTAAGACAGAATGATAACCCACAGTGTGTATGTGTATCACACACACATATACACTGCTAGACATAAAACCTGCACTTAATACCTGGTGGCAATGGTGGAGAATTTGCAGTCTGTTCTGAGAAGTTATTGAGCTTGCTAAATGGGGAGTGAGAATTTGTGAGTCCCACACTGGCATTCAGTGCTTGTGAAGAGCAAGGTAGGTCTGTGTATGCAGAAACCAAATCAGAGTTTGATCCATCCTGTAGATGATATTGAGGCTTCAAATGGACTTTTGTATAGATTGAATGCATAAACAAGCAAAGGAATTAACTGTGTGTAGACATTTATGTTTTCACATAGTAATATGTCTACTGCTCCAATGGAAGTTGAGCTTTAAATTATTATTATCATTTTTTTGCTATAGTCAGTATCATTAGTTAGTGAAAGTTGTAGATTGATCCATATGAAGCTGTGAATAAGTAACCAGATACTTCTATGAGTGACTCAAAATCCAGAAAGAAAATTTTAAAGAACTCTATAAAAATGCAAATGTAGTTTTACTTTTACTTTCTATTCATAAATATACTGTGGTACAAAATGTGATTTTAAAATGGTGTATTCATTTCCTGGAGCTGATGTAATAAATTACTACAAATTTAGTGGTTTAAAACAGCACAAATTGATTACCTTTCAGTTCTGGAAGTTAGATGTCTAAACTCAGTCTTATTGGACTAGTTAAGGTGTGGGCAGGGCTGGCCCCTTTGGGGGGTTCTGAAGGGGCTCCCCTTCCTCTCTGTTTCTAGACTCTGCAGCATTCCTTGGCTTGTGGCCCCTCCCTCATATCTTTCCAACCTTTTGCTTGTACCTCTTCCTGCTGACTCTGACCCTCTTGCCCGACTTCTGTAATGACACTGGGCCTACCTGGACACCAGCCTGATCTGCCCATCTCAGGATCCTAACTTAATCACATCTACATCTTCCCTTCTCCGCTCCCAGTGTGCTGGGGATTGCGATCTCTATGTCCCAGAGGGTGTATCATTCAGTCGACCATAATGATCACCTTCCTATTCTGTTTATTTTCAAAACTCAGATAATTCCCTATTAAAATTCTTCTACCTACATTTTTAGTGCAGAAGAGACTAGAAAAATTTCAAGTGGATGTGCATTTTTTAAGTATTCTGGGAAGAAGCAAGTCTTAGCAGGTAGGCAGAGACTACCAAAAGAAACTTCTAGGAGGAGCTGAACCTCAGTTGTATAACTGAACTCTTTAGCTCCACTATTTTTGGGATAAGTATTTAACACCTTCAAACCCAGGCTGTTTGTCCCACCATAGATGAGGCGCTATAGAGTACCATACTGTCTCTCAGTTCTGCACTTAAATATTTATAAACACTGATTAGATGATAGATAAGTGATGTGGTGGGGAGGAGAGGCATATCAGACAATTTCAATACAATATTTTTTATGAAGTGAAAATGGAAAATTTTGCAAAAGATTATAGTGAAATAGTAAATTAAAAGTTAAAGTGATACCACATCATTATTCAAGTTCTTCCCTTCCCCCCAAGTAACTGGAACAAAAATTTCACCATACCCAATCCTCATCCATTTAACTTTAAATTCTACCAGGAGTTTACATTACTATTTAATTTACTTTGCTATAAAGATAAACTTCCATCTTCTTGATATTGCAGATTTTAAAATGTTACCTCATGATACTTTCCACACCCTAACAGATCATATATATTTTGGATCATAAAATAGAAATAGGATATATATGACTTCAAATGAAGTATTATTCTGTAGCATGTATCTGGATCTTATTTTTCTTTTTAGCAGATTTGATGGTGTTTTTATCCTTCATCTCTTATGAAAAAACACAGGATGAGCGGGCAAAGGCAATAAGCAGAGGGGAGGAGACCATCCTTGGGATGTTAGAAAAGTCTAAGGCAAATGCCCCAACCCTCCACATTTTACAGGGGAAGTAAAGATAGTCATAGCAAGCTCTAGCCTGTGGGTGCTGATGGCCCCACCACCTGGGGAGCAGACTGCACCTCTTGTGATACCTCAGTTCATTACACCACTGTAAAATTATTAACAATCTTCCTGGGACATACCGTGTAACAGAAAATGTTTGGGAAAAAAATACTGTGTGAATGAAATGTGGTCACCCCAAATTTATATGTTGAAGCCCTAATCTCTAGTAGTTCTGAATGTGACTATTATTGGAGAAAGGTCCATTACAAACATGAACAAAATTCAATGACATCATAAAAATGGGGCCTTAATTCAGTACGGACTGGTGTCCTTTGAAGAAGAGGAAGAGACATCTGGAAAAAGGCCATGAGAGTACAGAGCTAGAAGGTGTCCATCTCCAAGCCAAGGAGAAAGTCATATTTATCAAGTGACCAAGAGCAATGAATGCAAGTTTTCTGAGAGAACCAAATCATAAATGGAAGATGGTAGAGTGAGCATGGAATTGGCAAGGCTGGCATTGTTCTGCGGTGATGGGGTGATAAGGGCTTGTTGTGGTTTGATTGTGAAGTATCCCCCAAAAGCTCATGTGTAGGACAATGTAGGAAGGCTCAGGGGTAAAATGATTGGGTTATGAGAGCCTTAACCCAATCAGTGAGTTAACCCCCTGATAGGGATGAGCTGAGTGGTAACTGAAGGCTAGTAGGGTGTGGTTGGAGGAGGTGGGTCATTGGGGGTGTAACTTTGGGATACATATTTTGTATTTGATTAGTTTCTCTCTGCTTCTTGATCATCACATGAGTCACTTCCCTCCACCACATTCTTTTCTCATGATATTTGCTTCACCTAGGTTCCTGAGGAATGGACCTTGCTGTCTATGGACAGAGACCCCTGAAACCATGAGCCTCCAAATTAATTTTTCGTCTTCTAAAATTGTTCTGAATAGGTCTTTTAGTCACAGCAGTGAAAAAGCTGACTAAAGCAGGACTCTGCTATGTTTTCTAATGACTTACCAGTATTTAAAAAAATAATGAACACACTAATGCATCTGGAGACAATTTTAGTGTATTGTGCATTGCTTGGTTTTAGTTAATTTTTTTTTACAATTTTAATCAAGTTGTTATAATACGATTCATTTTATATTTCCCTGTTATGTAACTTTGTAAAATTGCTTGCAGGATATATAGTTGGGGTCATTTCTGGGGCTCCTTAAAGTTCTCCATTTTCCAAACTTATTGTCACACTTTTTATCATTCTGTTCATTTTGATTAATATTGTTTTGCAGTACCTTTTAATATCAGATTGGGTCATATGGATTTTCTGTGCTGAGTGTCTGTTTCATAATATTTTTAGTCACTGTTTGTTTTTACAAAGTAATTTAAAAGTTTATGGCTATTTTAAAAAATCTTATTAAACATTCATATTAAATTTGCAAACAGAATGTCTACATTATGTTTTTTAAACCAGGTGAAAATAAAATGAATATCGAAACCTTGACCCTTGCATGAGACAGAGAGATGACAGTACTTGGACAATAGTAGAACATGAGGGGAAAGCTGTGTGGGAAGCTAAGAAGGTAGCAGGCAAGTAGCAAGCAGGTGCAAATTAGGACATAGCTCTGCATTTGGAGTAAGCTGGATGGTTTGACCCTAGTGCAAATTTTTACTGCCCTCAATTTGAGTGAAAAGCATAAAATCAGAATAAAGGACAAGCAGTAGATGATTACTTAGTGTTAAACAATAACTTGATCTTATGTCATCAGTTTTGTTTATGTACCTTGAGTCAGTTTTAGGAAGCACACAATGTGGCCTAGAGTTAAAAACTCAGGCTTGAAATCCATACTGCCTGGATTTCATGCAGCTCCTCTACTTATTTGCTGGATTTCAGTTGACTCAAAATGGGATAATCATAGATAATGAGAATGCCTTCTTTATAGGGCTATTAGGAAAATCAATTGATATTTGTAAAGGACTTCAATGGCATCTGACCAACAAACGTTAGTTATATTGAGAAGATTTGTGTTCTTGAGACATTTTTTGGCTTGGCAGAAGTCAAAGTTTACATTTATTTTCTTTTCTGATTCTGAAAGTGTACCCCATACAGTTCTGCATGGCCATGACCCAGTAAGGCTGCACCCTCCTGCCTGGTCCACACCGTTATCAAGGAAATGCTTCTGAGCTTTTGTACCTGACTTATTTATTGTTGCTCTCTGGCAGCTATCCCCTGGCCTCCTGGCAAAAATAGCTGGATTTCATTAAAATTCACTCTCTCTTGATACCATCTCTGCTGGATATTAGAAGGGATTGCTACCAGTGGAGCTTTAGCAACCTGATTAAGAATAGATTTGGGCTGGAATGTTCCAAGTGCTCTACAATTACCATTTAGAACGTTTCTCCCCATGGCTCCTCACTTTCCTGTGCACTGGGCTCCCAGTCCCTCCCCAGACTGTCTCAGCCAGGTGGGAGCCCAGCCAAGGCTCCTGTGGCATTCTCCAGCTGGACACTGAGATGCGTCTTTCTTCATATTTCAGGTGCAAGTTCTCTCCCATCGTCTGAAGTCCCCACTCTGGGGCCCTCTGTATGAGTGACACGTGGCCTGCCATGGAACCTGGCCCTGCTCTGGCCTGGCTCCTGCTCCTGAGCCTGCTGGCTGATTGTCTGAAAGCTGCTCAGTCCCGAGACTTCACAGTGAAAGACATTATCTACCTCCACCCTTCAAGTAAGACTGTTTGTTCTCTTTGCTGCAGAAATGTCACTATTTCAAATAAGAAGTGGCCAGGGGAAGGCAGCCTTTAATGCAAGGGAAACAATCCAGTGATTTAATTGAGAGGTGCATTTAGTTAACAAAAGATGCTTTATGTTTTACCCCCATCTTCTCACAGGATGTTTGGTTTTTAAGTCAAATCACTAGACTTGTTTTCTCTGTTCCCTGCGCAATCACTCAGATTCTAAATACCCTTCCCTTTTACTATACCGATCCTCAATCAGTTATCAAAGTGAACTGCTGTGTCCCAGGAGGCAGATTGTTTGTAAAAGATCAGTCCTCTCTAGGAAAGATAATAGCAGGTCTTCCTTTCTGGGCATCTAAATTTCAGTTTCAGCACCAGTGACTCCAACTTCCTATTCCCTCTGCCTTTTTGTTTTCCTGTGTTTAAGGATTCTCTGAAAAGTGAATAAAAGTGAAACTGCCCAGATCCCTGCCCTGATTTGCATATATCTGGTATTGTACTTGTGGATTCATGCTTTCAGCAAAAATTTCAGATCCTCCTGTTGCAGGTATCCTGAGGATCTTACATTGGGAAGCACAACAGTTCTACTTTCTCCTTTGGTCTCCATCTCTGTATTTATTTTTTTTCCTTTGGTCCTCTTCTGAATTTCCCATGTGGTTGTGAGAACTGGCTATATTGTATGGGTTTTGTTGGGTTTTTTTTTTTTTGGTTGTGGGGGCTTTACCTTTGGCCTCAAGGTACACTGTTCTTTTAAAATTTTCTGCTCAACAAATATTGTTCCCATATCCACTGTGTGGTGGAGCGTTGTGATGGGCATGAAAGGTACACAGGCAAACAAGACATCGCCCTTACTTTTGAAGACTGTGTAGACCCAAAGCAGAGGCAGCCACCTGGACTCCTTCTACCCCACAGGGCTAGAATGTTCCATGTCTGCATGTTTTGGGTTAGCTAAGAGGTGGTAGGTGGAATGCACAGGGGCTTGGAGCTACTGGACCTTGGATCTGTCAGCTGCTTTCTTAGCTCCTGACTTGGAACAAATCCCCTAACTTTGTGAAGATTAAATGGCATAATGCATATGAAGAACTTAGCACAGAATAAAAGCTGTAGTAGACGTTCAATCGATGTTGGAAAATGTGTAAGTGTTTATCTCTTCATTTCTAAAACAGTACGTACCCTGTATGGATCAGAAATAGTATCTGTACAACACTAGGCCCATACATAATAGGCAATTGAATGATGGTTGTTTATGTTGTTATCATTGCCTTAGACAACAAAGGAAGGGTGCTGAGAATTCACCACTCTTATTTTGTATAGCTGCAAATATACTTTAGCTAAGCAGCAAGAGATTTCTTCAGACTTTACTCTGTACCTCTCAGCAGGGCAGTCTGGTGCCTACTGCTTAATTGCATGAAAAACTTTTCTGGCTGCTTATTTTGGTGGGACTTTTACTTCATTTTAATAATATCCATGAAAAGAAGATATATTGATACTTGCTCTGTTTTCTAGAATGAGTTTTATTCTTTTCTTCAAACAGCTGTGCTTTTTAATTTAATTACACATTTTGAGGCAGAAACCCAGATGTCAGTCTCTTTTGGTTGACTACCAGGGTTTGCGGCTCCTATGAAGTTCTCTGTCAGCTCTAGTGACAAACTCAGTAGTAAGTGGGATGCAGAACTGGCCTCTGGCCTCTTCTGAGACTGTGATTGTAAATGAAGGATAAAAGGGAAAATCAAAGTCAATGGGTTTAAGCAAATAAGAACAAAGCAAACATACCATTCCCACTTTAACAGGTTGTGGGCCAATGTCCAGAACAACTGCACCCCTATTTGGAAAGTCGAGTTCAGAATGCTTTTTGAAGGATGAGCTCTGCCAGGGCACAGGGGGGAATCACTTCTGCTCTTTAGAAGTTAATGGAAAAGTTCTGCTCTATGACCTATGTTAATTAAAGCTATGACCTGATTAGAAGGAACTTACCACATATAATGAATTGATGGTGTTTTCTGATATGATTTTTAATCATGGAAGATAAAAGTGACTCCTACCTTAGATTATAAAGTAGATGGTTTACCAGCAAGTCTGGATGTGAGATTTTTTTATAGAAGAGAGTCTCTATAAGGGGTCACTGGCAACAAAATCCTTATTGGATTGAAGTCACCATGAATGGCTTCCACTCAGTTGGAACTTTATTCTGCCCACTTCAAATCAGAGTTAACTTGACATTTCTCCTAACTATTTCAGGAGTTTGTGGTGTGCGTTTGTTTTCAGTTTTGATTTTTTAAACAGCTATGGTCCCCTGCCCTTGAGCCCTAGATCACTTTTATATGGAGTGATCTCTCTGCCAATAAGCAGGTTTCTGTTGTAATTTAGGCCATAAAAAATATATGAGGGAAGTGTGAGATTAGTGTGATTTTGCATAATTTATATAATCGCCTTGATTTGTGGGTGGAGGCACCAAGAGCTTTCTGTGGGTCACTGAGTGAGCCAGATTCCACTAATGTTAGGTAGAAAAGCTGGGCACCTGCCACAGGAGAAATGCAGTGATGCAGGAGGTGTGGGAAGACACAGAAACTCAGGGGCCTGGGTCAGCCATCCTGATGATACCTGCATGAGGCTGGAACCCAGGCAGAGAAAATTCAGCCTCCCATAGCTAATCTCCTTTGCTTTCTGTGTTCCCTAATCTTTGAAGTTTCTAAGCCTTTAAAAGAAAGAAATTTTATATAAGGCTCTCAATGTTGAGGCACTGTCCTCAATAACATTCTGTTCTATACTTTCTATGTCCTTTTCTTCCCTTTTTATATGAATAATGATGCTTTCTTCTCCATCTATGATTAAAACACCAACATCTAATAAAAAACTTTCAAAACAAGAGTTGATATTAAGAGCAATGGAGATATTTGGTTGTCACTCCCCACATGATAGCAGAATGTAGTGTACTAAATGACTGCAACCTGTTCTTGGCTTCCATTTATTCTCATAGAATAGAGACCTTTTCTAAAAATATCCAGTTTTCCTCTGGATGCATGTTTTGAACCTTTCCTTAGTCATGTGAGTTAAAGAATGATATTCCTGAAGGGGGTTTGTTTATGCCCAGGTCGGGAGCCAACCAAATTTATTCACAATCCTGTGCTACCCAGGTAAGAGCGAGGAGACTTTCTAGATCGGTACCAGGAAATGCATTTCTATCAGAAATCTGTTCCTATCAAAATCATACTGACAATATTTTGTTGACAGGTGGACTGAGAAGGAAGATGCATTTATTAGACTTCTAGAATTTTAAAAATGATACCCAGTTTCCAAAGACAATGGAAATTAATTTGGCGAGAATAGAAGTCTGGATGCATTACACATCAGCATACATTTCAAAACGTCTGTTCTCACCACACTTTGGGTAACTGAAGGCCTTTGTCCAGGCAAAAGTTCCAAGAGATGGAAACAAAGACTAAATCTTTTCCGATGCCTTACAAATGAATTATGGTAGGTTGAACTAGGGCTGACCATGAGAGTTAATGGACAGATTATTTTACAGGAAGTAACTGGGCACTTTGGTGTTTCTTTTTTTCTTTACAATCACCTTTTCTTGAGGGACCAAGGACTTATGCCCTGAAATACAGAGTAGTAAGCTTATTAACTCTGTGATCAAGAGCCAAATTAGATTCATTCACAGCTGGGGCCACAACAATCTGAAACTCTGCTTGCTCTTTAATGCTTTGAAGTAACAGAGAAGAAAATAGCACATCTCTCAGGAACCTCTTTCTGTCCTTTAAAAGAAAAGAAAATCTCTTTATCAGATGCAGTATCAATTAGCAAGTTAGTGGAGATAGTTGTTTATCTGTAGATCTTATTTTGGGCTAAATATTTCCAGAGGGAAAAATTCATCCATTTTCTTGGGATTGTACCATAATTAGCCACTTAAAGCTGAGTATGTTTACAGAGATTTGTCACAAATCAGCAGTTATTCACTGAATGGTATTACCTTCCAAGATGTCAATAAAAGTTTCCATGAGCAAATATTATGCTGCAGTTATGGAGAATGGACACAGACAGAAGTTGTAGATTTTAAAATAAAACTAGCCCAAAAAGAGCTCATTTGGTTAATTGCCAATGATAGATGCTGATGAAGTCATTCAGGGCAAAGCTTCATTTTGCTGCTGATGTACTTTAGCTTGTACTTCTGTTTAAATTTCTATATCCTCTGGGTCAATTTCAGAGTTGAGGCTGACTTATGTAAGAAATGACAGGATTTAATTTGTTACTACTCTTGTATCTTTTTGAAAAGTCTTTTAAGGAATCCAAATTTGGGAACACTACCACTTATTAGTGTTTTGTTCTCAATAACTTTGTTCTCGGAGCAGTTGGATCATCAATCTTCATTCAAACTTCTTAATTTATCTCTTTGATGGGAAAGTTTCCAGGAATAACTAATCCAACATTTCAGCCAAAAATTTTTTGGCTGCAGTGACATACAGATAAAACTGGATGCTCTAGCAAATTAATCATGAAACTGATGTGGTACGGCTAGCTTGCAGTCACAAACCTCGGAGAATATGATGATCATTTTTTTGAGAAATACTGGTTTTTGTCAAACCCTTTCAATGATTTTTTTTGGTGTGAAAATCCTACTTTGATCATTCTGCTTCAGATTTTATAAGCTGTATTTTAGTTTTTACTCTTTTGCTTTTTTAACTTTAATTTTTTTTATTGGTTGTTCAAAACATTACAAAACTCTTGACATATCATATTTCATACATTAGATTCAAGTGGGTTATGAACTCCCATTTTTACCCCAAATACAGATTGCAGAATCATATCGGTTACACATCCACATTTTTACATAATGCCATATTAGTAACTGAGCTGTATTTTAAAGTTTTATTTTTCAAAGTTATATGTAGATTCATTCTTTAAGTTAATAGTGAAACTATTTTTTAGAGTGTCCAATCAAGAGGATTTCCCAAAATATTATATATGGTTTTTCTCATAATGACTTTTTATTAAAAAAAAAGATAATAAAAATTCTTGTAAGATTATTGAATGGCTTGGGAATTTGAAATGTAATTTGTTTGAAATTCTTTAGGCATGTGCTTACCAAAACAGAATCTGAATTCAAATGTAACTCATTTTGCTAGGTGGTAGAACATGGATATATAAAAAACATGTGTGTGTAGTTTCACAAAATACTTTCTTGTGCTTTGTCATAATTATGGGCTGCAAGAGCATTTTCCTCCTGGTGAAACTGCCTCATGGGAGTGAGGTGGGAGACGGCTGCCTCCAACCTGCTTTCCCTCACCTTGTGAGATGATCCATACCCCTGCTGTCATTCTGGTTTTGAATTGAGTCACTAACTACTTGGAGGAACATAAAACTCGAATGTGCCATGGAAAGGTCCAGTTACTTGTCTTTTTAGACTAAGTTTATGACTTTTGACCATGTTAGGGTATTGGATATTGTCACAGTCAGCTCTGTGAAATATTGCAGGCGAGTACATGGATGGGCAAGGTGAAAATCAAAGTTATATCTGGCCCATAATTCTGGCCTTAAGCTGCTGCCTCCTCCTTCATTTATTTTTGATAACATACTTAATTGGTTCCATGTGGGCAAAGCAATTTACCCTGAGATGATTATTTCCGCCAGTGGGATACGCAGGCTCAGCCATCTGCGAGGGAGAACAGTTGGCTCCTGCAGATGAAGTGTTTGAGTGTCTGCAGCTTTCAAATAGGCCAGGTAATTTTACACATTAAAAAGAAATGCACAAGTTTTGTTTATGAAAGGCAGGACTCTAAACAGCAAAGCAAGCAAATGATTACAATTAAGAAGTAATTGAAAGCACATTGAGGAAAAGGACAGACATTCCTTGTTGATCCTCATTCTTTTGCTAACGAAAGCACTGGTGTGCTGGACATTCTCCAGAGCATGACTTTCCATGTGAGACCTCCCACCTGAGCTAAAAGGTGGGGCAAAGAACATAGGTACCTGGAGGATAACCTCTTCAGAACACAGGAAGAGGTCAGAATCGATGGGAGGAGCTTGTTGGAATTGAATATCTCGTATCTCTTTTCGAATATAGCACATGCTACCATCCCCAAACCTGGTACTAACTTACCTGTACTTCATTTTCAAAATTTTATCAATTTTAAAATGTCACATGAATGAAACCATATGTAACCTTTTGGGGTTGTTTTTTTCCCCCCATTAAGAAAGATTCTCTGGAAATTTATCCAAATTGTTAGCTATATTAATAGTTAATTTCTTTTATGCTGTCTAGTATTCCATAGTATGAATGTACCACATTTTTGTTTAACTGTTCACCCATTGAAGAACATGGGGGTTGTTTCCAGTTTGGGGTTATTGCACATTGAATATCTTGAGACCAGAAAGCATTCAGATTTGGGATTTTTAAAAATATTTTCATATATAATGGGTTACCTTAGGGATGGGACCCATGTCTAATCATAAAATTCATGTTTTATACATACCTTATATATTATACATTATATATATATTTATATACACACACACATACACACACATACCTTATGTATATGACCTACAGATTATTTTATACAATAATTTTGGTGCTCCTACAATTTGATTATGACCTGTCACATACGGCCAGGTGTGGAATTTGGGGAGTATCATGAGAGTGCTCAAAAAACTTCATATTTTGGAGCATGTTAGATTTCAGATTCTTAGATTAAGAATGTGCAACCTATACAAATGCTGTCGACATTTATTTACAGATTTTTTTTTGTGTGTGGACATAAATGTATTTCTCAGGAATATATTTTTAACAGTGAAATTGTTGGGTCATATGTTAGTTAAATGTTTGGTTTTTTAAGACACTGCCAATATGTCTAGAGAAACCTTTTTTTTTTAAAAAAAAAATGAATATGTCTAACTTCACAGGATTCTGTGCTCAGTCTAAAAATCAATCTTTTCTTTTGATTTTTTGTAGCCACACCATATCCTGGTGGATTTAAATGTTTCACCTGCGAAAAGGCAGCAGACAATTATGAATGCAACCGATGGGCTCCAGACATCTACTGTCCTCGAGGTAAAATGTCAATAGACAGATTGGGGTCCCCGAAGCTGTTCATGAGTGAGTAGCCCTATAGACCTGGTGCATGCCTGCAATCTCAATGGCTCCTCTAGTCTTAGGTTTAGTATATCTTTTAAGCTGCACCAATAACTTTTCCTCAAAGACTCTCAGAAATATAAAGCGATCCATAATATTTCCCCCTTTTTCATGAAGCATCTGTGGAGCTCCAGAGGACTTAAAAGAGACTTCCCCAGACAGGTCAGCTAAATGCAGAATAGGAAGATAACCGCCAGTTTGTCTGACCCTCTTTGAAGCATTAGTCATTGCATAGTAATTTCTTTCATGTAAAGTAGGCATTGATGCTCATATAAAGATTCCATTTATTACATATCTTACCAGAGACTTCTTTACTGAGACTGCATGAAAGCTAGAATTCTAAATGTCATCATTGCCCCAAATAAAAAATCCTGAGCTCTTTTAAATATTAAACTTAATGTTTAAATGGTGTCCATTTGAAGATTGAAATTTTAACCCAAATCCCCATTTCATAATGAAGGCAAGTCATAGTCAGATCTCTTTTATCCTGTCAAGTAAACAAGATTTTTCTTTGTGGCTCTGGAATCATTGTTGGTTGACTGCTATATTTTGCAGGAGAGTGGATTTGTTTAGTGTGAGGAGGATGATGAGGGAGAGGTATTTTATTGGCAAATGTTTGAGTGAGTAGTTAGCACACTTCACTGCTAATCCAATTCAGTTATTAAAGTGACTGGACACACCAAATGCATTATTTTTCAACATAATGCAGGAGCTCTCATGCTCAATCCAGTGAATGGCCCTCTGCTTCTCAAGGTAAAGTGGAAAGTGTGAGAGCCCAGAAAATGCCATTAAAAGACAGATGTCAGCTACTGAGCCAGTGCTGTTGAACCCAGGAGCCTCTACCTAGGCTGTACAGTAGAAATACCTGTATGACCTTACAGATATTCCTAAAGCCTGTGTCCTGCCTAGACCAATGGCTCCAAACTTCAGTGCAGTCACTCATGGAGAGCATATTAAAACACAGACTTCTGCTACCACCCACTCGCCCTCTCCACCTGAATATTTGCTTCATTAGGTCTGAGATGGCTTCAAATTTTGCATGTCTAAAGAACCCCCCAATGATGCAGATGCTTCTGGTCTGAAGACCACTTCTTAAGAACCACAACTTTATACAAATTAAATGAGCATATCCAAGATTAGCATCCTGCACTAGTACTTTTAAATATCCCAGGTGATTTTAATGAGCAGTCAAGAGCAAGAACCACTGGGGCCTCATCTACCTGCTGATCAGGAAATGTGTTGTAATTTCTAGATTCTTCTGTTTATTGTTAGGTAGAGATGTCAGTGGGGTCCCAAAAGATTACAGGGAAGAGAAAAAAAATGGAGACACTAAAGACTGCCTTAATCACAAATTAGATGTCCAGTCACCTGGGTAAACAATGGTAAGTCCTGTCCCTAGTGTCTTCTGCTGCCACTGCTCATTTCTCGATGAGTCAGTATTTTCTGACTTTAACCTTGCAGGATAAACAACTGGGCAAGGTACTAATGGACCTGATTGAACCACTGCTTCTCAAACGTGGCTGTACATTGAAACCACCTAGTAAAGCTTTGAAAACACTGATGTCTGGGTCCATTCCCAGAATTCCTAATTAACTGGCACATGGGTATGGCTGGGAATAAGGATTTTCAGAAGTTCCCTGGGTCACTAATATGCAGCAAAATTTGACAATTGTAAACAGTGACTCTGGACAAAAACAGGATGATTTGCTGTGTATCCAGTAACTTCTGGGTTGGTTCCTGCTGGGAGAAAGCTAGCCAATTGTCTTCTGAAACTGTGGCTACTGGTCAGAGATAGTACACAGGAAGTGTATCTTATTCTGTGCTGCTCTAACATAATATCTCAGACACAGTAATTTATAAACAACAGACATTTATTTCTCATAGTTTTGGGTGCTGGGAGTCTAAGATGGAGGTGTCATGTTAGCAGGTCCAGTGTCTAGTGAGGGCCTCATTCCCATGCCTGCAAGATAGCACCTTGTTGTATCCCTTGGAGGGGAAGAGTGTTGTGTCCTCATATATAAAAAGGCAGAAGGGATGGAAGGGAACACACCTAATCCCTGGAGCCTTTTGTAAGGATCCCAATCTCCCCATGAGGGATCTATTCTCATGACTTAATCACCTCTTAAAGACTTCACCTTTCAATATCATCACATTGACAATTAAGTTTCAACATGAATTGTGGGGGACACATATAGGCCATGGCAAAGTGTGGCTGTGCTTGTCTTAGGATTGACTCAGCTCTGAGCTACCTTAGCAGATGTTATGCAGAGAAAAAGGAAGGTATGTGAGCTGGTCTTCTCTGCAGACTTGATTATATACAAATACATCCCTGTCTCAGAGAAAAACAAACAAACAAAAAAAGCAGGTGACTAGAATCACTGTGGGAATGCTTCTCAGGGAAAGAGAAAGCTCCATCTGGATGTTTTCTTCTAAGATTAGAATCTATCCTTTCAAAGTACAGATACCTAAAAGTACCACAGAGTGATCTTTAAACAATTTATCCTTTTCTCTTTTCTCCCCTACACATTTTTATCTTTTTTTTTTTTTTTGTCTTTAAATTTATAGGGATAAATGGAAAGTCTTACACTGAGGTTCATGGCAGAAAATGACCAGCCAAGCCCCTGGGGCGATTAAGCAGTGAGAGATTGGAATCTGGTTTCTTCTTTCTAGGAGCAGGTAGTTTAGCCTGGGAGATAAGATCTGAATATATCAAATGTCAAAAATAGCAGGGCAAAATTAAGTGCCAAATGAAACATGGCATTGAGTGCCGTGGGAGTTTAAGGGAAGAAGAGCATCTGGGGGCTGAGTTTGCCAGTGAAAGCATCATGTGCTGAGAACCCTGCAACAGGCCGACACGACACCTGGGAAATGGGTTCAGAACCCTAGAGAAGGCAAGTCTTCCTGGAAGTCCTTCAGAACCATGGAGACAGGATTTTCCAAGTGTGCTCCGTGGATGAGGAGAGACCTCACCTGGGAGTAGCAACCAGTTAGTATGAAAGAATAAAAGGAGCAAAATAGTGGAATCAGGTTGTTTGTGTGGAGCCTTGAGCATCAGGTAAAGGAGTGGGCACTCAAGCCCTAACCTGGGAAAAGGTGTAACCCTAACCCTAACCCTCATCTTGTTGCACACTCAGCCTCCTGCTTGATCAGCCTTCTTCCCACGGGTCTGCTGCTGTTTAATCCATGTTTCCTCTGTATTTTTTAATCAAGTAAAAATAGCACGATTGCATTATTAGGTTAAAATGTAAAATGTCTTTACTAACCAACCCTGTGTTTGTTTTCTGGCTTATCATGCCTGGAGCAGGTCTAAGAATACCAACAGGCTTAGTAAGTGGAGCTCAGAAGCTGCCATGGAAAGGCTTCCTGGCTTTCTGTGACATTTCTGGGATTTTGTTGCTTGTTTTGTGACATATTGAACTAGGTTTTAATTATTGGAGATGAAAAAAAAGTCGTTTCACATAAGCATTTAATTTTGTCTATATGGAATTAGCACCGACACCTAATTGTTTGGGAAATGACTTTATTCTGAGAATTTTTGAAAGCTCAATTCAGTTAGTGGATGAACATGGAGACCCAGTGTGTCCTAATGGCTCATGCTTCTGGAGTTGATAGGTTTGTTGTGAATCATCATTGGGTCCAACATGTTTGGAGAAAGTCTGGCCCTGACTAGAATCACTCCTCCAGCTGTGGAGGAGTCAGCCAGCCACACTGCTAGCTGACAGAGGTTCCCTGTCACTCTTACTTTGGGAATGTGCATTTCTTAAGTACTTCCATTGCTTTTACCTCTGTGCTTCCAGATTCCTGGTACCATACTCATTCCCTAGCAACGAGAATTGAAGATGTCCTCCATAAATGGCTCCTATTGCCATATGTGTAATTTCAGGAACTGCACCTGACAAATCTGTTCAACTTTCTTGGTTTTGTGAACCAGAATTAGAAAAGATCTTAAAACCCTGTTATAAGGGACCAATCGAAGGAACTGATGTGGTATAAGAAAAGCTGAGTGTCACGTACTCGGATCCATGTCATTTCGCCCATGACTTTTCTCTGTGCTGCAAGATTAAAAGTTCCTTGAGAGAGGAACTGTATAAATGTTTAGTAAGTGTCTGTGGAATTAAATGTCAAGTCAAAAACATTACAGTTTTTAAAAAAGACCTGTTCTGCAGCGGACACCTAAGCCAAGGATAGTATGTTCCTTCTTAATTAGGAAGTACAGTTGCCTCCCTCTAAGGCACGATCTTCATGTGAATTTATTGCTGATAGGAAATCAGAAGAAAAAATTTGAGATAGTGGACACATATTCTTTTGAATCCAACCTCTGTGCTGCTCACTGGTTTTCTCTGAAAATGAATGAACTCAGATGTTCCTTGATACCTCTTTCTAGACCAGTTGTCTGATGGTTCCTGGTACAAGCAGGAAATAGAAATGGGATTCCCAGCTCATTGAAGGTTGCAAATGTCCAGGAAAGACTTCTTCATTGACAGACAGAGGCATGGCTGAAATAGATAACCTTTTATTTTAACACATAACTGAAGGGTGGGTTTTTTTTCTTTCTTCTACTCAATTTTATACTTAGAATCTGGCCTTTCAGGATTTCTATCCTTTATACCTAGGTGTTTCTAAATCCCATCAAGACCCAAGACAATTTCTTACTGATTATCTTTAATATGGCCTCTTCTCCAAGATAGTGAAATCAATACCTTATTCAGGGCAGGTCCATGGAATGTGTCTCTCTGGAGAGTGCATTTGTGCATCTATAAATATGTTGGTTATATCTTATCCACCACTTCTGACTGCTAAGTAATGAGATGTTTTCAAGATTCTCTTTTATTATTATTAATTGCTAAATAGAAGTCTTAGACTTCTTCCTTTTTAAAGAAAAATTTTAATTAAATGTTAGAATGCATACTGGAAAGGGA